GAGAGGGAGAGGGAGAGAGCGCGCGCGAGAGGCTGTGGAGATGCAGAAAAGGCCTGGAGTACACCCACTTCCTTGGGAAGAAGCAATGGGGCTGAGGGGGTGGAGGGGACAGGCACCATCTCTCATGTTTTTCTTTATAGAAGTCTGTATTTGTTTGAAGTTAACAATTACTTTTGAAATAACAATATAAACTTTTGAAATAAGTTTGAAGGCTAAATAATTTGGAGACTAAATTTCTAGAGAAAAGGGAATAGTTTATAAAAAACCTTAAAATGAAATGTAAACGTTTTTCTCCCATTTACAAGCCTATGAGTGATAGGCAGAGTAGCACTGCCAAGAAACCCACTTTTAAAAGCTCTTTCAGGAGGCTAAACTAAGTCATTTACATTTTTTTAAGGTTAGCAATGCCTCCATTTTCAGACTATGTCATAAATGATATAAATGTCAAAATGAAGGCTTTTATAATTATAGATCTTAAAAAGGAAACGTGTAAAATATAGACTTAGCAAAACAAATGACGAAAGCTGGATAGTTTTGCTCTACTTAATTCAAAATTGGCCCTACTTCCTAATTATGTGAGAGAGCTGAGTCTAGGGTCCAAGTGTAAATACCTATCATATGTTTAAAAATGATCTTCAAGGGCCGGCCGAGTGGCTCAGTTGGTTAAGAGCTCGCTCAAGAGTTTGAGCTCTGAGCAACAGTGGTTCGAGTCCAGCCCGAGCTGAGCAGCCGCTGAGCTGCCATCAGGTAGCAGGATGGCTCAGCTAAAAAAATAAAAATAAAAAAATAAAAATAAAAATGATCTTCAAATTTGTGCTCTGACCCAAATTTGACACAGTTAAAGTATAACGCCAGTCGGACACAAATGGTCACACCTCAGTATGTAACAAAATCCTGAAAGTAGCACGGCAAGTTAGCTAGATACCATTTATTAAACCCTCAAGCTGAACTGTAATCTTCTGAAGTTACACACACCACAATACACCTTTGCACAGGTAATTTTATTCTCTCCTGTGGGTGTCAACAGTGCTCAGAGATTGTGATTTGAAACATTCAGAAAACACATATCTGAATATTGTACATTTCTTTACATCACGATTCAGTAACTATTAAACAGTTATGTCTACTAAATACAGTGAACAGATGGTATAAATGTTTACACCATTCCCTTGTAAACAAGGCATTTGTGCACAACAGTAACAAATGGAATTATGCATACCACAACATCGATGAGGAAAGACCTCTTTAAATAAACTATTCTGTTTATAAATAGACTCTGATTTCTTTTTCTTTTTAGTACACATTTACAGACCTGACCAATAAAAAGAAACAAGACAATATATTTTCCCTTAAAAAGAAAATGTTTGGGAATGGACCACAATGGAAGAATTCACCTGGGAAAGGGGTCAGAAGCAAGCGGAGGGTGATAAGAGTTAAAAGTGCTGTCAGACTGCAACCTATTTCTGTCAGCATACACCAACACAAGGTCAGGTCTGTCTGCAGGGAGCTCGAGTTTACTTGAATTCCAGCAAGTTGCAATCAATCTTGTAGTACACATAGGGGTAGTATTCCTGTTGACTCAGGTTTAAGCCTGGAATATCCATAGGTGCCTGTGAAAAAGCAGACAAATCGTTCCATTATGCACTTACACAAGGCAAACAAAGCAATAAAAAGTATCACCATCTACCTACCACTAAATACCTACTCTGGACTAAGATTATGTATTTATGCTAATTTAATCTGAGTTGGGCATTATTATCTCCATTTTGCAAATGAGGAAACAATCTCAGGCGGTTGACTTGCCCTGGGAAACACAGAGCATGAGCAGTAAGGCCAGCTTCAAGCACACACTCTGACTCTGAAGCCATACTATATGTGTTTAACCATGACCCTACCTTCCTTTTTAATATACATTGTAAAAAATTGTTTTCTAATCTCAGGCGTGGGGTACTGAGTTTATGGGATACAAGGCTTATAGAATGCTGGATAAAACCAAGCGTGATTTTAAAAATATACTTGTGTATTATATATATGCATGTTATAAGAATTTACTGGTGGAAAATTATGTATTAAATATTTAGACCTATTTTACTGACAATTCCATGAAAATGCAGAAAGGCATTTCTACAAAAAAAACCCTGATTTTGTTATGGTTTTTCGTGATTTTTTTAACTTATAATGCACATGTAAGATAGTACTATCCCAAACTAAAGAGGAAAAAAAAAAATCAAGCTATTTGAAATAAAAAATATAAAATAAACCCACTACAATTTTAAACAACAATGACAAAAAACATCACATATACTTTGTTTATATTTTGTTTAAAAGAAGATATAAGCACATACTATATTTTATAAAAATACAAATTTCCTTTAAAATGTTCATCTATTAACTCCATTATTTGTACCAAATAAAGTTAAAATAGTTACTTATTTTCTTCCTCTCTGCAATTTATAATTTTTGTAAACAACTACTATCATTGGTTGATTCTGTATTTCTGCAACTATAAATATCTGATGCATAGCAAGATAAGGACTGGCTTTTAGAAATCCTGTGAAGCAAGGTACAGCTCTAACTAGCAGAAAACAGAGTAGACAAGGTAAATTACTTGCTATGTTTATCTAACTAAGAATCTCAAAAAGAAAAAAAAGATTGGGTATCACAATATTCACTACCCCTTTTCTATCTATCCTTTTCCAATAATTCTTCCTGAAATTCATTCTAGTTCCTATTCTATGAGGCTATCTAATAAATACTTACATCAATAATAGCAGCTGCACTGCTGTCTAGATGTTTATACAATTCATATAATACTTCTCTTAGTTTCTTCATTGTTTTCTTAGTAGGCTGAAGTAGCATTGCTTGGAAGTTCACTGGCAAGCCATACCTTATAAAGAAGCAAAAATATAGTATGTGACACAAGCAAACATATACAGAGACTTTCTTTTTAAAGCAAATAGTCTCATACTCTTCCTTAATCATAGCTAATGGGAAGATGGTATCTCATTTTAATGAACACCTTTACAAGTTTAACTAATATACATAGAAACTCAAACCTTCTCTGGTCCTCACTGTCAACTAGATATTTTTCTTTAAAATGAGAGCCAACTGTCTACTAGGAATTGCTTTAATTAGTCTTCAGTTTTTAAGGTAATCAATCTATGAGTGATATCCTCAGTAAATAGTGATCATATGTATACTTAGTAAATACTTTCACGATAAACATGCAATTACCCATACCTACTTTGAAAATTCCAAGTAATTTAAAAATAGTGAGCATAGCTGCAGATAAGTATTTTTAACAATTTCTAATATGAGCAACATATACAGAAGATCACAAGATGATTTAGATTTTAAGTATGTCAAAATATTAAATATTTTAGGTTAAATAATTTCAAAGAAGTCATTAGTATACTGTATACCAAACTACATATAAATATTTGAAAGATCTTTCTTTTAAACAAACACTGGCTAATATTTTATGATCTGCTTTTAAATAAGTACATAAGAAAAGAATCAAAGAGTACAGCAGCATGGATCTGTTTTTCTAAACCTGGTGTTCAGGGACACGACTTAATACACATGTAAAAAGTTGCATGATACTGACAATCTCTACCTCATGATTGGCCCTTTGGTTTGGCCCTTTGGTTTCCTATTACTGGACTGTGTGTTATAATAAAGAGGTCCAATATGAAGGGATCTATGAACTCTTCAGATCCAAGTTTCTCAATTAACTTTACCTTAAAACAGACTCAACAAAAACCCTCAACGCTTTCACATGAATCCAAGCAATAAACGCTTCACTGAAATTCACTTTCAGCCACCGCACGAGTGGTCCCTATAAAAGAAAAAAAAAAATCACCACAAACTTGGTCTTGAAAATGGCAATTAGGAACTAGAAAACCAATCAGCTTTACCTGACATAACTTGGTTAGGGATAGTTTTCTTTCCAACTGAGATAACATGGTTTACAAAGTACTTAGAAATAATTTTAAATGGAATTTGCCTTTACTTCCTCTTGCATTACAAGAGAAACACCTTTTCACTCATCACTTCACCTTTCCATATAAGCTTTTGGTCTTCACAATAATCCTACACCCTAAGATGGCAAGAAAGTTGACAACAGTTCCATCCCTGTTCCCCATTTTGCCTAGAACATGCTAATTCAATGGTTTAAATACAAATTTCTTCGGTAAAAGATTACAGCATTAAAAACATTTTCCTCAAGAAAATGAAAAATCTTACTGAAAAAAGAAAACTATTAAATAATACCTTCCACTACAGGGCATTAACCAAAACACTACATTTAAAATTAATTTCTGATACGGATTTAGATAGAGTAATTATTTCAAGGTATGTATTTTAAGATAACTATTCATAGATCTAAGCTTGAAATCAAAACTAGAATTCATTCTAATTATTTAATAGAAAAAATAATTAAAATCAAATGCTTTAAAAAGAAAAATCAGAAAAGTTTTGCTTTCTTTTAAATCAAAGAAAAGGAATACCAGTTTGTCTTCTGCTTTAACATTGATAACACTAAATATTAAGAACACATACAAATTGCTTTTTCTTGTCAGTAGAAAGCCTGTTCATTTCTTCTTTATCTGCTTTCATCTCCTCTTCATTATACTGGAAGTCACGAACAATGAATCTACATTTGGGGCAAAAAAAAACACTAAATTGTCCACACTATGTACAGGTGACCTAACAAATTAAAAATTAAAAAACAGACAATCATCATCATCATCATCATCTTACTTGTTTTCCCTGGCTTTGTGCCTGAAGTCATCAACCGCCTTCCTAAACAAGGTGACATTACAAAGGTAGCTGTCTTGATCCTCTGAGAGAACACTGGGAAAAAAAGACAAGGTTCATTTAAAGCTTTGTGTTCATTTACTGTCTTTCATACTGAGGACAATTCAGAAACAGCGGAAGAGGACAGAAGGATGTGGCAGCCCTTCCCAAGCCATCTCAGCGCTACTCATCTGTATTGCTTCAAAAACTGAAGACACTGAGTGCTTACAATGTTTTTGTTTACTATGCCTTAGCCCTATATTACACTTACTTCTTCCTAACCAACAATATTAAACATTAACTCAAGTAAAGCATCCAAACTCTAAGAACCAGGCTTTTCAATCCATATCACTGCTAGGCTGGCCCAGGCGAAGTTGTCTAAAAGCTGGTTTCTTTCCAGAGTCTCCTTGCTTCCCTGCTAAGTATCCTCTTCTCTTCTGGAAAGCTAATTCTCTCTTCCTCCCTCCAGCCTAGCCCACCCCCGAGACCTGACGTACCATCCCTGCACTGCCAGAATCTCCTGCCTCCGGTCCTTCCTTTTCTCCCATCACACCCTACATCAAAAATTGACTAATGCAACTGTCTAAATACCCTCTGAAAAACACACTGTTATGCATGTAGAGCTCCCTGTTAGGCTTTGGAAGGTCCCAGTGAGGTCATCACTTCTGCCCAGTCACAGCTCTCACGGACATCACTGGAAAAGACCTGCCATCTTCTCTGCTCCCTCATCAGCCTACCTGTTTCATTGTCAGGACATCTTCCCTGCTTTTCTTCATAAAAGTGATCTTTGCAACCTCTGTTGTGAAACACAAGAGAACTTTCCCTCTGCACAGTGGCCAGCGTGGTATTTTCTAGGCCCTCCTAGCTGGGCTCCTGTGCCTTTGGTGCTATTATAGCTCCCTGAACTAAAGCCTCTATGAAGCACAATGTGTCTGTGGTACTGTTTCCAACATCAGAGAAAGGCAGACGTTAACCAGTGATCTGACCCAATCAGACTATCTTAACAAGCAAAAGCAGACAGACAAAAAGGAAAGCGGTGATTCTGAAAGGACATGAGCAGCACCTCTTTCTGAACAGTTTTTCCAACAAAAAGAAGCAGAACAGCAGGCCAGGCTCCATTTCTCTGGCCATTCTATTGATATGGCATTTACACACATCCCTGCACGTAACCACACAATAATGGCAGTATTGCAAATTGTCCAATCTTTTAAGACTTAGGTCAAATATTTTCCAAATAGCTAGACTTCGTTTATTTTTAAAGCAAAACTATTTCTTTCAGGTTTGAAGATGGTATTTTTCAATCTATTCTTCTACCTCAGAACTCCACTTTCATCTTCACTCCTCCCAAGAGCTGTCACTCAAGTATCATGCCAAAAAGCAACAAGTCAAAGTATTACTGCTTATAAGTGACATAAAAATAAAGCACTTAGAACAATGACATTATAACCAAAAGCCCAGCATCGAGTCACAGAGATGTTTGTCAAACAGGAGGCAAGCTCCAGACTAACCTGCTGAAGTCTGTCTGCCCGCCATGAACTAACTACCCATCCTCTTCCCAGTGCTAGCTGAGCTACTGCTCTGTTCTTGATGACTGTATGTAAACAGCAGGCTTTCAAGTCAGTGATTCCAAATGTCTTTTGAACAGAGAAGTAGGTGGAACAGGTGTTTTCACCGAGTGGGGAGAGCTGGACCTCTCAGCTGGTCAGCGAGCACGCTTGCATCATTCAGAACACAGGTAGTGCCTGCACTGAACTGTGACTGCCTAACACCTTTTCCTTGAAACTACTAAAGTGATTTTCAAAAACACGTGAACCTCTGAAGTAATATTTTTAAAGTCCTTTCATTGTAAATCTGGGCCTACTTAACTAGCCTACACACTACTCCCCCGGAACTCAGGCTTGGCATATGTAGAACTTGGGAGGACATATTGTGAGCACAGGGTCCTTCCCCTCGTCCGTCTCCTGCCTCCCAGACATAAAGTCAACCTCTATGACTTTATAATAAATGCCTTACAGAGCACAAAGGTATCAGAGGTGTTATCTGTCAGGATAGAGAACATCAGTGGAAAACTAATATCAAAACACAACATTAGTCTTCAGTTACCATGTGAAGGGCTGGTGTGAGTGGAAGGTATTCCCACCCCGCCACCAAAAAAAAAAAAAATTCATGAGCACAGGTTTGTGGTATAGGTCTCAAAAAAATCAGCATTTGTGAAACCACAATCATAATCATGTTACCTTATACTTTGTAAACTGTTTCAAGCCTTAAAGTAACCTCATAACATGTACAGGGAAGGCGCTATACTCATTTTACAGGTAAAGAAAATGAGGCCCAGAGAAGTTAAAAGACTTATCCCAGGTCACACAGCAAGCTGGTAGCAGAACCAGCAACAGAACTCAGATCCCTGGGTGCAGGAGTCTTCCCATTATACTAAGCTACCTCCCATATGACACGATGAAACTGGAAAATATGTCATGGGCCTGGCCCCACTGATACCACTTCCTACCATCGCCTATACTTTTCTTTCACCACGCTGCCACCTCCTGAGGCATATACATACAAAAGAATCCCTTGGGGGGAACATATACATGACATTTAATGTTTTCTCAAAGAACATCTTGTATGGACTAGCAGAACATAGGAAAAAATGACATGATATAGTATCAAAGAGTACAGGACCTGGAGTTAAAAGACCTGAGTTCTAGGCCTAACTTTGCCACTGGGCACTTGCACAGCCATATGCTTCCGTCAACTATTTAAGTCTTTTGCATTTTGGCTTTTTCATCTATAAAAATAACTGCCCAAACTACTTCACAGAATTGTTGTAAATATCAAATTAAACAATGTATGTTAATCCATAAATTAAAAAGTGCTTAATAAAAGTTTGTTGTTGTTTTTTAAAGATTAGGTAGAATCTATGTTTACTGGAAAGTGATGGTGAATATTTCAAAATCAACACAGTACTCTAGCAGCCATTTCTGTACACTTCCTTTGCAAGCAAGGTAAATGAAGAATTATAAACACTTCATAGGTATGCAATAATATTAAATGTAGAATTTTCAGGAGGTAGCACAGTGCAGCAGAAAAAGTGCTACACCAGAGCCCTGGGTTCTAGTTCGAGCCCTGCCATTAATAAGATGTGACTCTGGGGAAACCACTGCATCTCTGTGGCCTCAAACTTCTCCATCTATAAACATGAGCAGTCAATCAGACTGTGCAAAGTCCCTTCCAGGTCTAAAAGTATGATAATATAGCTAACTTATTTATAAGGTGAGAAAGATGGTTCTAAAACTGTAAATGTATCACAAAGGAAAGACAGCACAGACATTTCCTAATCCAACATCCAAACCATAAAAGGAATTCTAGGAAAGAAAGAAGTTTTACAAAGATGGCCACTTACTTGCTAGACCTTGGAACTACCATTTCAGCGAGCGTTTCATACTGCTTCATCCAGTCGTTGTGGTTTAACCTGCAGAAAATGTACAATAAGTGCTGGAAAAGAAGAGCAAGTCCTACGTCCTGCCATGTCCACAAAGAGAAAAAACGGTAGGACAAACAGGAAATGTGGCTACAGTAAGTATACCTCAAATCTACTTAACAAAACAATTCAAGTTTTCTACAGAGAATGAATTTCAAATACACTGAGTGAAGCAAGAACTGTAGTTCACCACCCTCTTATATGCAGCAACTATTGCAAAAGAGGCACATCCTAGAATCAAGTTTGGAAAGGAAGTAAGGCAAAGTATAGATTCTACATTATCTTCAAACTTTAGGGTTGATATGTATTACCTCATTAAAAAAAGGAAAGAAAAAGGTCATGCCCAAATCACTATCATTTCTTTTCAGTGGCCATTATGAAAAGCTGGATGAAACTATATATTTACTAAAAGCACAGAGTACCAGGAAGTATTGAGTAAATAAAGTGACGGCAAACTATGCTGCCATAGAACATTGTGCAATAACCTTCTCTAGAGAACACTGGCTTTGGGGAGTGTGGAAAGAGACAATTATGTTTGTAATTTAAAATAAAGAACTGTAATATTTGTTCTTTTTTATATTTGCCAGGATAGATGATAATTCACTATGTAAGGTGCCCTAGGTCCTATGTTTCAATTACAGTGTACAGGAAACTATGAAAACTGCTTTTAAACACAAATTTTAATTAAATAAGGTTAAATGACACAAATCTTTTATCTGGGCAAAGGTTATTTTCCTATGTATTATAAAAACACAGATACATAAAAATTTATTATAAATAATCAGTGTTCTAATATAGCAGGGCTGAGTTATGTTACTAAAAGACAAAATACAACTTTAGAAGCCAAACCCTTAGTTTAAGCCCTTCTCCATAAGCAAAGGATAATGCTCTCTGCAGTAAGGAGGGAAAAAGCAGACTATTGTAGCCACTCTAAATTCGATAGAGGTACTTTCACAGTCTATTCCAAGAGGCATCGTTTTCCAATATTCTGGTTTCCTAACCAGATAAAAATGGAGAGCACAGCAAAGGAAGACTTCACACAATGATGTTCCCTAATCCCCCATCTCAGTTTGGATCCTCCAAAGATTCCCTGATAACAAGACTTCAGTGTTAAGTCAAAAGTGAAAACATTAATAGTGTTTCTCTCTCTCTCTCTCTCTCTCTCTCTCTCTCTCTCTCTCTCAGTGTTAAGTCAAAAGTGAAAACATTAATAGTGTTTCTCTCTCTCTCTCTCTCTCTCTCTCTCTCTCTCTCTCTCTCTCACTCTCTATCTCTCTCTCTCAAACACACACACACACGCTTCTAATCGTCCAACTGTCCAAAGGTTTCATTTTACCAAAGTTAACTATGATCAAATGTTAATTAACACAGAAGGCCTAATCAAAGGATATTTTAAAGGGTTATCTAATCTAGCAAACTATGCTCACAGCCTGTGACTGTTTTGTAAATAAAATTTTATTGAAACACAACCACATCCATTTGTGTACATATTGTGTGTATGGCTGCTTTCAGTTATAACCACAAAGTTGACATGGCAGAGTTGAGGAGTTATAATAGAGATCATATGGCTTGCAAAGTCTAAAATGCTTACTCTCTGGCCCTTTACAGAAAAAAATGTTCTAAGCCACAATCCACTAAATCGTTTGCTTGTTATTATAAGACTTAATTCATCCTAACCAATGATCAAAGATTTTTCAAAACAAAAAATATATATATATAAAGAGCTTCATATTTTGAAAAGTCAAAATCTAATTTTTTACATAAAATAATTTAGCATTACTTAATTTTTTAATGAGCCAACTCTATTAAGCTGCTAAATTTTTTTTTTTTTTTTTTTAGCTGAGCCATCCTGCCACCTGTTGGCAGCTCAGCGGCTGCTCAGCTTGGGCCAGGCATCGAACTGCTGTTGCTCAGAGCTCAAACTCTTGAGCGAGCTCTTAACCAACTGAGCCACTCGGCCGGCCCTAAGCTGCTAAATTTGATTTGGAATCTCAAATTATAATTGATGGCACAAGTTATGAACTAAATTCCATTGTATTGCCACATGAATATATGTTGGTTGACAGAATGAATGACAAGGTGATAGTCTCTTTATACTTGGGTTTTATGGAAAGCCTCAAATTACAATATCAGATACTAACATTTTCATGTATTTTAATAAGTAAAAAAAACAAACGTTTCAATAAAAAGACATACTTGGGAACTACGACCAGTAATGTGATGAGATACTCTGAATCAAGAACAAAGTCATCCTTCTTCACAATTTCTGCTAGACTTCTAGTTAGCAAGCTTCCTCTGAGGAAGAAGAAAAAAAATCATTAGGCTGATAATTATGTGCTTCCATAGCACTTGTAAAGAAATAGCAAGCTAATTATATTTACATATACTATATAGACATCTCAAGAGAGGGATTAGTCTAGTTAACATTTTTACTTTGTAAGTCATCAAAATTTAGCTGAATATTTCTCATCCCTGCAACCCAAGAAATGTCAACATTTATCAAAGTTTGCCTGTAGCATCTGTCTCCCTTTGTGCTTGCTTTAATTAATGAAGCTGGGCTCTTCTCTTGATTACATATATAATACCTTGACTGGGAAAGTGTTATTCATTAGATATCAATTAAAGTCTATTTCACTGTAATTATGAAATTATATCATCTAAGCACAGCCTTTAGTGTTTCTGCCTCTTCCAGGGTATCATTTGATACCAGGCAATTTTGGTTAGTTAATCTAATAATCAACTTTTTCAAATCAGTCTTCAATTATTCTCCCAGAAATGTCCTGCCCAGTTTACACCACTGGATAGTATCCAAGCAACTTTCCTCTAGGATATAAATGCCTAACTTCAATAGTTAAACGATTAAAGGTACACCTGTAGCAGTCACACTACAAGGAGAACAACCAAAACAAGTGTGTTCAAGTTTTATTATAGAAACAGTTGGAACTCATTAACAATATTTCATTCAGTGTATGCTAGAATGCTTCCCTAAATTCTGAATATTCACAAATACTTGATATGCTTACGCATTCTTTCGTTCCAAATTCTGAAGATTTCCTTTCAGGTTATTATATGCAGATGCTCGAGATTTCAAGTCATTGTCAATCTGAGTCACTCCCTTTAAAAAAAATAAATAAATAATAATAATAATAATATATATATATATACATACGCAAGATTTTCCTAAATCTGCCTCTACTAATACAATTAAAGTAGCTGTAGTTAAACTGAACTTTAAAAAAACTACTAATTCCTGATGTAAAAATATTCTATTTTAAAAACACAACTTTAAAAGGTCATTTAAAAAATAATATTGGTAATTTCCATGTGACTCTTTTCTACTAAAGATTATGTTTTAGTCCAGATGTATTTTAATTATTTATTGTATTACTTCTTAAACCATGTAAATGGAATCTAGGCCA